AGAGCGGATAAAAGGTATTACAGCTTCAAATGGTACGTCTGGGAGTGAGTTATCGTACACTCACTGACCCAAGTTTTGCTCGGCAGGTCAATTGTTGTTAACTTAATGGACACGTTATCTTATTCATTGAGATAACTTGTTATGAGCCAGACAACTTATTTATAATTTTGGGGACAAGTTATTACAAGGGGCCAAATTATCGTGCATAGGAGACAAGTTATCGTACATATGGGACAAGTTATCTTACATCGGGGACAAGTTATAGTACACGGGACAATTAATCGTACACAGGGGAGAAGTTATCGTACACAGGGGAGAAGTTATCGTACACAGGGGAGACGTTATCGTACACACGGGGCAAGATATCGTATACAGGGGACTAAGTTATGTCTGACAACGTGCTGTACTCTAGGGAGAAAGTTATCGTACGTTAGGTAATACACATTATTATATGGCAGGGAAGCTGTAAGTCGAGATATGGGACTAACACTAATCGTCGTACATCTGGCAACTTGTACTGAGAAACTAAAGTTATTGTATGGCTTGACTGCTTTCTTTTGGCGACAAATTATCGTACACCTGGGGAATTGTTGTACTGGAGAGACTAGTTATCGTACAGTAAGCAACTACTTGTACCCGACGGGACCATTCATCCATCTCAATATGCTAGGCTATTATGCGTCAGCTTTCTCAGAACAGTTATACTTGTGGGAAAAATATATATACTGGTTTAGTATAGTTATGCCTAGTTATATATGTATCTGGCAAGGCTGAGCCAGAACAGTTATACAGGCATATGTAACGTGCGTATATATATATATATTACTTGTCATAATAACACCATTCCCTCCGGCTGTCTTCACGGTGAAAATATCGTTTAAACAAGACACTTTTATCTCACAAGAGCTTATTCTTTTATTTTTATTCTGTTGTAAGAGCAATTCGAACTTTTTTTTTTATAAATATAGTCATTTTCAAACTTATTTCTTGTTGTAATTTCTGTTGTAATTTTCATGTTCGTATTAGTGTATAAAACTTAATTCTTCTTATCGTTAGTATAATTTTTGAGGAAAGTAAATTTTCTTATGATTTTTCTCGTAATTGTATATAATTCTGTATTACTTTTGAGAATGTATTTTCGTATAAAGGAATATTTTTCCTCGTATCATAAGCGTAAGTTTTTGCACGAAGTATATTTATTTTTTTTAAATATTTCATCGTAATTTATTTTTATATTTTATAGTAAATTTAATATCGTGTCAGAGTAATTTTAAATGTTATATAAGAAATGGAATTATTATATATTATATATTTTTTATAGTAATTGTATTAGCGTGTGGGACAGATGAGAGGCACACAGACACACACACACACACACACACACACACACACACGCGCGCGCGCGCGCGCCAGCTAATTACGGAAATAAGAGAGACATACAAACAGACTGAAGATAAAGAAAAAAATAGAGAGATAGAAGTAGATAAGGAGAAGGTGTTAGATACATAAATACATATAGGAAGTAAGTTAGTTTGTTATTGGGTGTACAGGTGGTGAACGTGATGGTATTTTTTTTCACTAGCTGCTGCAACAGGTGGTGGTGAGATGGTGTGTGTGTGTGTGTGTGTGTGTATGTGTGTGTGTGTGTGTGTGTGTGTGTGTGTGTGTGTGTGTGTGTGTGTGTGTGTGTGTGTGTGTGTGTGTGTGTGTGTGTGTGTGTGTGTGTGTGTGTGTGTGTGTGTGTGTGTGTGTCCTGGTGACTCTCTCGCTCTACAAGATCATCTTATCTTTTTTTCTATTTGTCTATCAGATATATAATGAATACTTTGATCACTCTTAAGCCAACTCACACACACACACACACACACACACACACACCATTAGCTCTCTGATTACACAAGTTACTACTTTTAATACTAAATTGATACTTAATGGTAGACTCAAATTCCTCTTTCACAAGAAGTGGTGACTGACACGAGTGGTTCCTCACAACGTGTAAACAGTGAAACGAGTCTTGGAAAATACCAGGGATTATAACCGTGTGTGTGTGGGTGTCCGAGGTTTTTGTTCCTTGTTCCGACGGCATAGAGCGGAAGTTTGTGTGTGTGTGTGTGTGTGGAAGGAGGACACAGTTAGTTTCGTGTGGTGTTGGTTGAGTTGAGTCAGTACCACGATAATACATTTACTGTCTATGGTACCTTACCTTGTTTTATGGTGTCGTATGGTACTGATCGTTGTATTATTCGTGTTGGTACCTCGACCGTAATGGTACCTTGACCTCAATGGTACATCTTGACCTCATAATGGTACATCTTGACCTCATAATGGCACATCTTGACCTCATAATGGTACATCTTGACCTCATAATGGTACACCTTGACCTCATAATGGTACATCTTGACCTCATAATGGTACATCTTGACCTCATAATGGTACATCTTAACCTCATAATGGTACATCTTGACCTCATAATGGTACATCTTGACCTCATAATGGTACATCTTGACCTCATAATGGTACATCTTGACCTCATAATGGTACATCTTGACCTCGTAATGGTACATCTTGACCTCGTAATGGTACACCTTGACCTCGTAATGGTACTCCTTGAACTTCCTACCTCGTATTAACGTCACAACTGAGATTTCTCATTTTTTCTTCGAATTCTTACTGAGACGAAGAAAAACAATTCCTACACAATCCATTAATAATTCCTATAATATTGCGTCTAGCTGTTGATTGTGACTCTCTCTCTCTGTCTGTCTGTCTCTCTCTCTCTCTCTTATGTGGGGGAGTTAATTTACTTAATTATATATTGTGGACAGGTAAATGTGTACTGGTATATAACGTGAGATAATTACCTGTACACTTAAGTTGTATTGTAGGTCATGTTCAAGGTTGATGTGTGCTTCTGATGATTTATTATTGTTGTTGTTTTTGTTATATTATTATTATTATTATTATTATTATTCTATTATTATTATTAGTGATGATGTTTGCTTCGTGTATATACGACTCCAATAATATAGTCAGCTATTTCCTCAAGGTTTCTGAAGGTAAATAATACCTCGTACAAAACTAGCCAAGTAATTATCTACCTCAAAGCTGAATGCTCTTTGTGTGTGTGTATGGCCGTCACTCTAGCGTCACTAATTACCTTCATAACATTACCTGCTCTCACCTTGACTTACCATTTATATATTTACACTCAATTCGCTCCGCCACTTGTGTATTGTAGTCTCTATCATGTTTGTTATGATTTCATGTGTTGGTATGTTGATTGATGGCCGTCTGTCTGTTTGTCTGTCGGTGATTGAGAGGTGTGTGTGTGTGTGTGTGTGTGTGTGTGTGTATGAAGGTGTGTTATATAAAACTCTATATAACAAGTTTCTTTGTTATGATCAAATTGATGTTGTTTTATTGTCTTGCGTTTTTATTGTGGATAGTTTCATGTCATTGGTTATATTATTTGTATACAATGATTAATTCTCACTTTTTTATGGGGTTCTCGCACGCAAATCAATGTATAGTGTGCGCGCGCGTGTGTGTGTGTGTGTGTGTGTGTGTGTGGTGGAAGTTGCTTTAAGACGCTGAGATAACTTCTTTACGTGTGGCTTCAGGAGGCAGCTGTTGTAACTTCAGCTCTCTGTTGACTTTTGAGGGGTCAGTTCACGGGTTCAAGGTTGATATATATATATTGTTTGTCTAGCCTTTCTCTCCCTGTGTGTGTGTGTGAGGAACCAAAGATCATCAACTCTTTCTTATACACACACACAGGATCCAAAAATAGTATCGTGCCAAATTTAGACCCCCGCAGTAGGTTCTTTAGAGTCAGCACAGGAGCCACCGCAGGTCTGCACCACCGACTCAGAGATAACTTTGACTCAGCCAAACCTAATCTAACCTAACCTAACCCTAATCTCTATACTTGTCGTTGAGTTCCTTAATTTGTTCACCTTTAAATATATGTTCTTAATAAAAAAAAGGTCCTGTTTTATAAGTAATTTTCATAGGTTTGTCAAGAAGAGCGACGCTTACTAACTGAAATTATTGAACAAGATAATATTATAAATTATTAGTTTTTATTAATTTACCAAAACTTATTTTTTTTACTTATATTAAATCACTAATGAGTTAAAAAAAAAAAATAAAACTTAACTCATTGATCAGATTGATTTAAAAAAGTATTATTGCAATCACAAACATAGAAAATTTACAACAATAACTGATCATTTTCTATCTTATGTACAGTGACGTGATTTACCCTCCCGTTTAACACAGACTAACGTAGAGTATATAGTTTATCCCCGTGAAACACTCAGACCAAGACGGGCGAACCTAACGTCTGTGTATATGATTATGGTCAGGGAGTCATGACACTGTTATTTACGTCCATAGACACGGTGCAATTATCGTAACACACACACACACACACACACACACACACACACACACATATACAAACCCCTACACAGACACACAAAGGGACTCCTACAGACACACATACACAGACCCCTACACACAGATACACACACACATACCTCTACACACAGACCCCTACATACAGTCACACACAGACCCCTACATACAGACACACAAATACACACATATCCCTACACACACTGCCACACACACACACAGACACACACACATACACACACAGACCCCTAATATCAATACCGTGAGAACTTTGAACCTTTTTGAATCTCTATTGAATTACAGCGAGTGAGGAGAGTGACTATCTGTATTATAGCGTTACAGAAGACCCTCACGACTGACAGTAAACACACTTCTTCAGATCAAACAGTAAATCATGTAATGGTAATATATAGAGTCGAGGTTATCAAGGCCTTACCCTTCCTTCCCTTCCTCTGTTGCACATCCCTGAGTAGAACTTCCTGCTTATTACCCAGGACCTGCTGATTATTACCAAGTCGTACCTGCTGAGATGACATAAATTCGAAGGTTTTATAATATTGTAAATACACATAAACACTTACCAAACAGAAGGGGTAAAATAATCAGGACCTTCATGGTGGTGCTAGTGGTGGTGCTAGTGGTGGTGCTAGTGGTGGTGCTAGTGGTGGTGCTAGTGGTGGTGTAGTTGCTGCTTGCACTCGCCAGATCACTGTTTGCCTCCCAGTTGAAATCTCCGGCAGGTTTAGGTGTAGGTAATACCACTTCTCGTCTGGTATTACGGTAAAACTGAGGTCACTTATGTCTATATCAACCGTCCAGGTGACTACAAGTATCTTCACAACACCGTCAATCCTCAAGTCTCTGTCGCAGTAAAGTCATAAATAGTTACGGGAATAAACGTCTGGGTGTGTTATATCTTAATGAGGATCTCGTATTTGAGCGAGTTGCAACGTGTTCAAGTTCACCAGCTAACACCTCCACTCACTGACTCAAGATCAAGTTCAGGGTTGGGAAAGACTCCATCCGTGGTGTTCGTGGACGGTGGGGGTGACGTCCTTCTGGGTGAGCGTCCGCTGCTCCTTGTGTGTGTCTGGTGGTGTTGGTGGGGCGGTGCCTCAGTACAGAGTGGGGTTCTCAGCCACCCTCAGTATTTATACCACTGCCCCAACTCTTTCTCGCTCTCTCTTTCTTTCTCTTTCTCTCTCTCGTCGCTCGATCTCTGGTCTTTCTTTCTCTCGCTCTCTTTACTCGCCCTGTGTTTGTGTGTGGATCTTTCAGTCTGTATGTCTGTCTATCTGCCTCTCTGTCGTTCCTTCTAACAATACGTCTTTTAGTCTCTCTCTCTCTCTCTCTCTCTCTCTCTCTCTCTCTCCCTCCCCCCCCCCCCCCTGGCCTGGTGGAAACAAGCAACAAATGCCCCCTCCTCTCCCCACCTGCTTCCTCTCCCTCACCCTCCACCCTTCCATACCCCTCCTGCCCCCTCCTCTCCCCACCTTCCCCAACACCTATCATCAACACTTGTGGGTGATTCTGTCTACAACACATCATAGTTATCTGTGAGGCCATGACCAACTTGTTATTAGAGGGACACCAAAATAATTGTTATGGCTAATGAATTTAAGTTCTGTCTTGTTCTGATTATTCCTGATTCATTTTTTTTAATTATCAGAGACAGATGTGTGTGTGTGTGTGTGTGTGTGTGTGTGTGTGTGTGTGTGTGTGTGTGTGTTGTTATTGCTATTATTTCCATTATTTTTTATTTTTCCCTCATCTTGTGTTTGTATTTTCATTCAGTTTTAAATATATTTCGTTTTTATTAAGTGATTTAGTTGTGGTTATTTTCTTGTGTTATTCGTGTGTTTGTCAGTATATTATTTATTTATTTATTTGATTAATCTCATTTATCTTTAGTTTGTTTTTATCAATTTATTATTTTATTATATGTTATTTATCAATGTCTTTAGTTATTGATTTATTTATAATTATTGGTTTCATTTTTTACACTTAATTTTTACTTGTTTATTTATATTGATCTGTAAATAGTTATCCACTATTTAAGGTTCTGTATATAGGGAAACCTCCTTATAACGGACTTCTTTTCCATAGTCCGTTAAATGGAGGTATTAAATGGTCCCTCGATATAACGGACTTCTTTTCCATAGTCCGTTAAATGGAGGATTTCTTTTGTTTGTTTGTTTGTTTGTTTGTGGCGTCGTGATGGGTGGTTGGTGGTGTTGGGACCAGTCATGATTTTACGTACACAGAGACATTTATATGTCCACCAGACAGTCATGATTGTACGTACACAGAGCAGAGTCAATAACACTTCGGGGTGAGTACACTGCCTGGGGGGTGGGACGTGGGCCTCGAGGTGACACACACACACACACATACACACACACCATCACAATAAATACACACACACACACATACATTACCCACACACACACACACACACACACACACACACACACACACACACACACACACACACACACATCACTTACCACCATCACAGATAAATACACACACACACACATATCATTTACCCACACACACACACACACACACACACACACACACACATAAATTGTCAGACAAACGGACAGTAAGAGACCCGCAGAGATACACCTGGAGAGAAAGAAAAATATGAATTAAACTTAACAATAAGGAAATATTACGGAGAGAATAACACCAGACAAATATGTGTACCCAGAAGACGGAAACACCTTCACGTACTCTACATGTTTTGGGGGGAATATTTTTTAACTCTATTATTTTTTAGTTTTAAGTTTCATTTTTTTACTTTTTATGGTGTTTTTTATGATGATTTTAATTTTTTTGGTTATTAATTTTTTAAGAAAACTAATCTAACAACTCACGATTTATAGATAAGTTTATTCCGAATGTTTGTGTTCTGTTGTACATAAATAAGAAATTAGTTTAGATACAAGAAATATATTTGAAGTGTGTGTGTGTGTGTGTGTGTGTGTGTTTGTATGTGTGTGTTTGTGTGTGTGTGTGTGTTTGTGTGTGTTTGTATGTGTTTGTGTCAGGGGAGTTAAGGTATGAACCATAAGTGTGAGAGATGGGTAGGGGAGTAGGGTAGGGGATGGGAGGTAAAGGGGAGACGGAGACAGGGAGGTAAGAAAGAGGGGGTTTGGGAGGGTAGAGAGTAATCAGGGGTGGAGAGGGAGGGAGATAGGGGTGGGGAGGGAGGGAGATAGAGGGGGTGGAGGGAGGCTGTGGAGGGGGAGAGGGAGGAGGGAGATAGAGGGGTGGGGAGAGGAGGGAGATAGGGGGTGGAGGCTGTGGAGGAGAGAGGAGGAGGGTGTGGAAGAGAGGGGTGGGGAGAGAATAGAGAGGGTGGGAGAGGAGTGGAGATGAGAGGGGGGTGGGGGAGGGGAGAGAGTCATCGGGGCAGCTTTCACCACCATTGTCTCCCCACCTGGACACCACCTCTGGCAGCTCTCTGTGATCAGAATAATAATAACTGTTTTGTTTACATCATTCATAAGTGACTCACTCCTCAAGCTGGGGAGACTCTTAGCTCTGAAGATAACACTAAGCTTTCTTGTTGCTGGGGACGCTTAAGATAACACTAAGCTTTCTTGTAACTGGGGACTCTTGGCTCTTGAGATAACATTAAGCTTTCTTGCTGTTGGGGACGCTTAAGATGATACTGTAAGCTCTCTTGTTGCTGGGAACGCTTAAGATAACACTAAGCTTTCATGTTGCTGGGGAAGCTAAGAATACCACTAAGCTTTCTTATTGCTGGGGACGCTTAAGATGAAACTAAGCATTCTTGTTGCTGGGGACGCTTGAGATAACGCTAAGCTTTCTATTTGCTGAAACTCTTGGCTCTTGAAATAGCACTAAGCTTTCTTGTTGGGGACGCTTGAGATATAACTAAACTTTATTGTTGAAGGGGACGCTTAAGATATCACTGTAAGCTTTCTTGTTGCTGGGGAAGCTAAAGATGAAACTAAGCTGTCTTACTGGGGACTCTTGGCTCTTACGCTAACAATAAAAGTTTGAATGTAAGAAGTAGTTATTTTGGAAGCTTTGGGCATAGTTAGGCGCTGTTTGTCAAGGTGACCTGACTACCTAGTTAATGGTAACGAAAAGGTCATAGGTAGTTGGTGTTCGTGGGTGGGTGTAGGGGTGGTGGTGGAGGATGGTAGACACACACACACACACCACACCCAGAAACTTTCGTCTGTAGACCACGACACACCCGGAAATGACACAAGGGTATTGGACTGGCTGTGACAGGTCCGTCTAGTCATGTCCAACCATCTTACCTCGTCCTTGTGGTGGGGTTTCCAGGTCATCCTCCACTCAACATTTGGTCAAGGAGTACCACACTGATGAGGATAACCTGTTTTGTTTACATCTGGGGGCGGAGGAGACCACATCACAACCCTAAAGTAAGATGGTGTTGCCTCTTTCATGACTAGAGGACAGTAATCTCTTTGTGGTGTCCCTTAAGGCTAGGAGTTAGTGCCACGTTTAAGTAGATGTAGCGAAGGAATGGTTTAAGAGGTGTGTGTGTGTGTGTGTGTGTGTGTGTGTGTGTGTGTGTGTGTGTGTGTGTGTGTGTGTGTGTGTGTGTGTGTGTGTTGTGTGTGTTTGTTATTAAGATACTGTACTAAGACTTGTTTGTGGGTTGATACTTAATGATTCCTTGGTAGTTGAAGTATTGTAGTTATACCCTCCCTCTCACCCCTCTCCTGTCGTTTCCCCCTCCCACCCTCTCCCCACCTCTCCCCATCTCCCCACCCTCTCCCCATCTCCCCACCCCTCCCCCCTTCCCCCTCCTTTTATGGGAAATATTGTAGGGTAACATTTACTAGTTGAAGGAAAACAGGGAATGAGAAATTCAACCTCAACTTTACTCACTTTTCCCTTACATGTTTACAGTTGTCTTATGTACAAAGGATAATTTATTTTTCCCTGAATTGAAAAATGAAAATAAATAATTCCTCATAATTTTACTTCTCCTTAATCTCTTTATTTTCACTTTATTTGGAAATGTTAGGAGGAAAAAAAAACACAAGAATAATTATAGACTTGAGTTTTACAATTGTCCAGCTTTCTTTGTGTGTGTGTGTGTGTGTGGTGTGTGTGTGTGTGTGTGTGTGTGTGTGTGTGTGGAGAGACAGGTACGTTGTTGACTTTGGGGTTACTAGAGAGAAAGATTTGGGTTAAATCATGGCTCCTGAACACCCATTGAAGGGAGCCCTAAATAAACGTCACTTTTGGGGGTTTATCATTCTCTGTATATTTAGCTTTCACTCCAAGGGTCATCAAACGGTGCCCTTATCTTCCTCCTCCTCCTCCTCCTATTTCTTCTCTTCTCTGCTCTCACTCCTCTTCTCTTCCATATCCGCATGTGGGATAAAACACAGACAAGTGCAATAAGCGGATTCCTGTGGATACCAAGGTTGCCAATTGAGTCCTTGAAGTAATTATCATAGGAATTAAATATGTTTAATAGCATAGTTCTGCGTTTAGAGTGGGCGTGACGTGATTGGTTAGTGAGTAGTTAGGGGGGTTTATTGATTGGTGGCTCTCTCTCTCTCTCTCTCTCTCTCTCTCTCTCTCTCTCTCTCTTCTCTCTCTCTCTCTCTCTCTCTCTCTCTCTCTCTCTCTCTCTCATGTGGGGAGGAAGACGATAGAAACCTCAAATAAGAGAAGACATTATAGAGAGTGACACAAGACAATGGTAACAACATACTGAGACAAGTGTAGACAAGCCAAACAAACACACCGACACGTGTTTGTTTACATCCTCAAGTCGGCATTATTATTGGACTTTTAGAACAACAATCAACACCCTCACACACACACACACACACACACACACACACACACACACACACACACACACACACACACACACACACACACACACTGTTGTATTATGAGCTAGCAAAAACAGTGTGTGCGTGTGTGTGTGTGTGTGTGTGTGGGTCAGGTAGTTCCACACAAACACACACACACACACTACTAATCCAGGATATCATTATATTTTACCTGAGATCAAAAAACAACCTCTTGATGACGGGATGGAAACGTTTTTAAAAATCTAAGAGAAAAAGTTTTGGTGACAG